GAACGCTAATAGCAGAATTTCAATATAGTTCTTTATTTGAAAAGAATTGGTGAAGTAGTTTTGTTTTTACAGACCACAAGGAAACTTTACTTGAAGTAAGAGGAAATAAGAAAAATATATTTAGATAGAGAAGTGGTCAGAAAATTATCCTCTAGCTCACAGGTTACATCACCAGTTCATTATTTAACCTTTAGAAAATTATTTTCATTGTGAAAAGTTGAAGACTTTAATTTGTTCTAAATTGAATAAATTAGCTTGAATGTATTTAGCTGCTGAGGTTTATTTCATTTCTTGAGAACGTTCAGAGTACATATTTCACATCTAAAAAGCTAAACTCAATACTAACCGTCTGATTGCATTTCTCGAAATCATATAAATTCCCTACAGAAAATATTTGATGAATGAGCTAATCTATGCCTTATTTTTCGAAGAAAATAAAATATATGAGTTATAATGCAACTAACTTCACTTTATAAAGTAATATATGATGGGGTGTTTCTAAATAACGGCAAAAAAGTTCGAAAACGGATGTGTGCTTCTGAAACTACTCAGTTATTTTATGTTTGACTGATGATGTAATTTAATCATTCTCATATACTTCATGAATAGCCTATAACTTTACCACTGTTAGCTTAATTGATTTTTCATGCTGCATGATTATAACACGCTTTATTCAATAAATACCATTAAAATGTGCTTTTATGTAGATCTCAATTTTGACTTATTATTATTCTGTTGTATCAGCTTTCGAGCAAATCACAGAAAACCTGCTCCGGTAAATGTTAAGAAATATAATTGGCATTTCAATCCAGCCCTTTAGGCAGAAAAGTTATCAGTTTACCTGTAATTAATCTAAAATAATGTGACCATATATATAATTTTAATATTAAAAATCACAATACTTAAAAAAATCTTTTATGTGTTATTTTATAAAAGTAATGTAAAATAATTAATTTACTCTAAAAAGTACGAAAAGATTATATAGGTGACAGAAGCAATTGCAATACTGTACTCTCTGAAAGTATTAATTCAAGAAGTAGGGATCACTACTATCACAATGGTTCACCAAAATTACTCCTCTATTGGCGACTCCTAATACTATGCAATTTTTTTGCTTTCCTTATTGCAGCTCCTCAATTTCCCAAAGCAAGAAAGAGGATAAATGTGCAACAAGGCCAGCAAAATCAGAAAGTGCAACAATGGCTGAATGCCACGCAGCCATTTCTTTACTCGGAATTCCCATACTTCCTTGACCAGCGGCGGATGAGAAGGAAGTGGTCCCTCTGTGCATCAGGAAGCACTCATGGCTGAGGCCCTAAAGGGCCTTTGAGTGACTCAGTGGCAGGAAATGGCGCTCCATAACACCACCAAGACGAATGGAGAGTGACTGCACAATGGGGGACAATTGAAAGAGGTCGAAGCCAATTGGAATCACTGTCGACGAATGAACACAGAGGAGGAAAATTAAAGAACTTAGCGCCATATAATCCTATTCCGGCTAAGAAAGCGGCTTCAGAAATATTCTAGCATAACGTAGAAAGGATTTCTAAAAAAAAGAGGGGGATTGAATTTGTTTTCTTGAAGCCTCGCTCTTAACATCTAAAATACCCAGCCAATTCAATTAACTCTCCTGCAGTTTCGTTTCGCCTTTTGAAATAATGGTAATCAGATAAGAATTGAAAACTCATGTATAATGAAAGCTGCATAAAAAGCAACTCCTGTGCACACTCAAAGCAGTAAGAGAAAATTAAAATTTAATGAAAAACTATTAGAATGGCCAAAATACTCCGTATATAATCCTTCTGACTGTTGCTTTCAAAACACCAAAGAAATTATCAATTAATTTATGTATTTTTCTGGTATCTGTTAAACTTAACATTTATTTAATTTCCTAGTATGTGCAAAAATCATGTTACCTTTCTTCTCTTGCATTGCTTATTACAGCTTACCACAACTGTTGGGTTTAAATCAAAATTTTCTTCTATATATATATCACATAACCATATAAGAAAATTGCATATATGCGTGCTTTAAAATATTCAGGTAGATCAGAATATTTTAAAGCACGCTATTTAAATCACTCCTAAGCGAAAGGAAACGTGCTGCGGGAAACGTCTTAATTAAAAATGGTCAGAGTTAAAAATAATTTAATTTTTAATAATGCTTACATATAACTAAAAAATCAATACTATTTGTAAAAATTTCGTGAAGTAAGTGACAAATATAAGGAAAATGAAAAATATTAACAATCAACCTAAAATTTTAAAAATATCAATCAATAAATAATAAACAAAATCTTAAATATAATTGCAAAAATACATTCTTAAAAAATGCAGCAGTTTGCAGGTGAAATAGAGCAAAACGAACGTAACTGGGAAGAAAAGTTTCTGATATCACATAATGTAGTAACTCAACTGTTGCAGTCCGAAAAATGGTATAAATAAAATAAACAATATTCATTGAAAACAGAAGAGTTAAACAAATTATACATTCTTTTAGCATGAATGCAATTGAAATACATAGAATTTTTAATTTCACCATCTGCTATAATAAACCCTCGAATTATAGGTACTTTATGATGGGGATCATTACCTGATTAAAGATTAAATTCTAGTGAAGTTAGCGACTAATTTCTTTCAGGGAAACGAATTATTTCATCTTATTACGTCATCGCTGGTTTTAGCTTTTAAGTTTTGAAAATCCGTGTCATAGAATTTAACTGAATGAATTAAGAATAATATTGAACGGCGTAATTTTAAGTAGTTTTCTATATTAGCTCTTTTAAAGAACAAAAAAAATAATAATAAATTTCAATAATTTTAAAAACGAATTATTCTACGCTTAGTCTAGACTAGTCTGGTAAATTCTGCCGATGGTTAATTAGGTAAGAGAAAGATCTCGGTTAATAAAATACTTGAATATTTTAGCAAGGAATACGCTTCTATTATCAAATACCTAATTAATATAATATTACGTCAAAATTTTTATTTTTTACACTACTTTCATTGTTTATAGAGGCTAGTCTTAAAAAAAAAGAAAGAAGGAATTTATGTCTACACGCTTTGCGGAATACAAGGTCTATTAAACAAAATGTCGCTATAAAATTACTTTCACGTTTTAAATAGTCATATTATGACAGATCATTCTAACGTAAACTCTTGGAACTTTGCGATACCATCAATTAAATTTCTGAATTATAAAATATTTTATTACATATTCAAACGATATGCCATTATTTTAACTATTAAGTGAAACGTTATAACATTATTACACAATATAAATTATAACACCATAGTGTGCTTTGCTGCAGATAAATAACATAAACCGTAAAGCATACATTGTCAAGTGTAAAATTTAGGAACGTAAAGTTTACTTGGTCTGATTAAGCTTTTTATTGTTGTGACAATACATAATGGGTAGTAGTTAACTGTGATTTACACATGTGCATATACGTTTTTTTAATTTTTCTGTGCAATTTTCCATAATAAATCCTTATCAACTTTGATTTCATAAACTGAATTCAGTAGCTATGAAATGGTAGCAATAATATTAGGGATCATAATAAGCAAGACTATAAAAATCAAATGATAGTTTCGAAAGCTGTAGAATATCAAGTACTGAAAGCATTGAAGCGGTGTTCATTGTTTTCACTAAGCGTATTTTATGTTCAGAAAAAATTGCATTTGCTACTTGAGAAAAATAATAGTTACACATCTCATGTGCAAGCAATCCAATGAAATAAATGCATAGGCAGGTCTCGAATACTTAAGGTTATCAGGACTTGTATTCCTTTTAATCTGTTTTGGGAACATGACGTGTCCTGAATGGGAACAGGGAGCTTACTCAAGTTATGTTCAAATAGGTGTGGAATGGACAACACAAGCAGGAAGAGTTAACTTTACCCTTTAGTTTCTACAATATTATAGGTACTCCCGCACTTCGGGATACAGAGACCAACCACTTATGGTCGGAACGTAAAAATATAAAACTACTAACTAAAATTTTAAATAAGAGCTGACTTTGAATAGTTTACACAAATATCTAATACTGGCCTTTTAAAATATTACGTATGTAGTACGCAAACTGCCGAAAACTATAATACGTTTTAAATATCAAGAGGACTAAACCTCTGGCCTTAAAGGCAGACCGCAACTGATTGAAAACTCGCGTGTAATGCAGTGGCAAGGCGACTCACTTTCTCTCTATCTTAACTCTTGGCAAAACGCCACAACATAAATACTTGGGCGTTAGCAAGTACAATTTACATAAACAAGTTAACGCGTTTAATTCTGGCCGGAAGTGGAAAATAATAGGGGAGAGTATAGTTTTAAAACAAAATAAACGTTAGTACAACTTAAGATCCTTACAAGGTTTTTTACATTAAATAAATACGCAAGTTAATACGTGGGATTAACTTACGATCAAATAATACGAGGGCAGAATCTTGCTCTATCAAAAACTATTTTTAACTGCTTATTTTAAATATGATTGTTTTTTGCATTTGGAATTCTCGGATATGAAATTTGAAATATGGAAAAAATATGTATTCTGTGTGATATTATGCATTGAAATATGCATAATCTCCCTCAGGATACATAAAAGAAGTGAGTCATGTTTACAACAAAAATATATCTCCTGTTTTAATGAAAGGTAGATTTTATAATTCAGATGGAGTAAATTTCTTTGTTGTTTCTTAGTATACAGAGTAATTATTACATGCTATGAAACATTTATTAAAAATTAAATTTCCGCTTTAGAAATTTTCAATTAGTTATTTTCTGTAAGGTAATTTCAGCAACTTATCAATTTATATTTAAATAAATTTTGAATATGAGTGTTTTTTCTATGCAAAACATTAATCACGTGCAACTATGTATACTTTTTAAAGTTTTACTTTAAATCCATATTTAAAATTTAAAGTAGCATATATGAAATTGAAAAAATATCGGTTTTATCGACATGCATATTTTAATAATTTATATATATATAAACCAACTGATAAAAAATTTCGACATAAAATAATGCAGAGACATTATAATATGACTGCATTTTTTATCAGTCGAAATTTCTTTAACATAAGCAAGAGAAGGTGAAATACTTGAATGCTTTAAAATTTCAGAAAATACCCAAAAAAGAAACATATTGTCTAAGCACCCGATAAAAAGTAACCTGTACTAAAATAAAAATCTTAATACTTTTCATGAAATTTTGGAATATCAGATCCGTATTAAAATCTCTAGATTTTGAGCAAGGAACGTACCTGAAAAATAGAAACAATCACTGTCTTAGGAAGGAATGGAGTTCATAATATAGCAGCAATAACAGCAACAAAAAATAACAAAGAGATATCTAAATGGAAAATACATGTAGACGTCTGTGGAGAAGAATATTGCGCGACGAACAAAACAGAAGAAAAGAAAAAGAATTATTTTCCCGCGGAAAAGTATAAAATTCCTAGAATTGCGAACTTGAAAGTCGGGCTATTGCAGTTTATGTTTGTTTCGAGAGTCTTTACTGGGACGAATATTTCAGAAGTTCCACATTCTTACTTTTTTTTTTATATCCTGTTTCTGGTGACTCCAGTCGCAGCTTGGAGGGCAAATATTAGCCATCCTGAGCAAAAGCATAGTAAGAATTCCCAAGAAACTTCGAGTTTCCTTCACGCAAATAGACCCCTGGTGTATACAAGAGACGTAGTAGGGGCGGTATGCACATTTCCACATCTAAATCTAAAGTTTGTACTTTACGTGATAGAAATATATAAATGTCTGGAGGAAAAAAATATCCTAAGCTTCCCAAAACAGAAATAAATCAATTCTTTTGCGTGGATTTAATTGTTACTTGTTATGCTGAGGGCTTTAAATATTCTGAACTAAAATTATAATTTTGAATTCAGGGATTCATTTTGATATAAATGTCTACTTCCTTAATTTATTTCGGTCGTCACTAGTGACCGACAATTTAACTGTTTTAGTCACAATGTATGATAAATTTTAACTAGCATGTTATTTTCGATGCTGAATCCTTTCTACTTTAGTTCTGCGATTTTACTTTTTTAGGCACATCGTCAGATTAATTTTAACTAACATGTTACTGTTGTTGCTGAATGCTTTCTGTACTTCTTCCATTTCAGCTGCTTTACCAGGAAATGTAAATAACTTTAAATAACGAGCGAACAGCTAAATTTAAGGAATGCGCTTACATCATCGGAATGACCTGCGGTGAACCTGCTTTTCTCTGCTTGTGTTACATTTTTGCAAGAATTAAACCTCTTTATTTCAGAAATTTCTTCTTTGATTAATTTCAAATTCAAAAAAAAAAAAAAAAAAAAAAAAAAAAAAAAAAACCTGCGATTAAGTTACTTATTTATATATGATTTATTTAAAGCTTGATACAAAATTAATTAAATTACATATTTTTAGTATGTACCCTCTGATAAGAGACTCTCTATTTAAGGGACGAAAATCTGGTGCGGTTGTGTCCCTTACTAGAAGGTACTACTGTGTTTATACTTCTTATCATCAAGTTGAAGTATAGTTTTGTTATTAAGTTGCTGAATTTTTATTGTTTTATACGTTTGTTGCCATCAGTCGCGTTGTATGGTCCTAAGTTAAGACGAGATGGAATGTTGTCCATAAGTCTAATAAAACTGCCTAAAGTCTATCATAAGTCTAATACCCTTAAGTGAAATTTGAGTCAAACCTTATAAAACATATAACCAAGTATATGATAATATCTAATTTTTGGAGGAATTAATTAATTTCTTTACATAAAAATTTTTTGATATTTAGCTTATTTTTTAGTCACAAAATTGCAGGGAAATGATAGCAAAAGAAAATTACTGCTGTAAAATTGTGTAAAATCATTTCTCCTAATCACTGCAGCAATTAATATTTACGATTATATCTTCTCTTATTCAAAGATTTCCTAGGCCTACCAGCGGCCAGGTGTCAATGTCGCTGAAAACTGGTAGTTTGACCTGCTTTCTATTCCAGCTAAACGGTCTGACTGCAGGTATGTTTGCGTATTTTTACCCTTGAGTAGCGTGGATACGAGACCGTTTTTCTTAGAAATGCCTCCACGAAATTATTCCTCCTCTTAATCTTTGCCGTAATCAGACAAACCACACCAAAGCCTTTCGATCTTTCGATGGTGTAAATTTACATTCAATAAACGAATTTTTTTTTAGAATCGGCTATTGCGAAATCCGCTGTCATTATCATTTAAAATCATAGGTTCCACCAGCAGCCGAGTGGCTAATACCGTTAAATACTAGAAGTTCGATCCAAGGCGAATGATCCAAGGCAATTTCTCTTAGAGAGTCCTCCACAAAGGCATTTCTCCTCTAGCCAACTGATCTTCTGGCTACCACATTTAGATAACTAAATACTTAAATCAAGCAGATGTAATGATGAGGGAATAAATTCTTGACTTTAAAAATCTACTATTGTTGATAATAAAAAAGTTGAATAAAATCGATTTTGGAAGTGAGGAATGTCACATTAATTTAATTACTTCAGAAATTCCGCGGGTTAAAAACTTCGGGGTCTATTAATAATTGAATGGTTAATATCCTGAATAGTGGTAGTTGAATTGGCTGCAGGGATATTTTCGTGTTTTTTTACATGTATTACACAAATACAAGTAAATTTCCCTTTTAAAATCCTCCACGATGTCATCTGTTACCTTAGGCATATAGACTTTGTGCGCTTTGTTATAATGAAATTTAAAAAAAAGGAATGAAAGAAAAGGAAAATCTGCGTTGGAAGATTGTATTTCGATCTATCTAATGACGTGAAAATAGAAATTCTGCGACATTAATTTGACTGCTTAAGAAGGATATGCGAAATAAAAATCCCTCTCCGAATTTAAAAAGAAAACTATTAAATTTCGATAGAAATATGGGGAATATTGTGTTTTTATCGTAAATGCATGTGTGTGAAAAATTTCAGAAAAAACCCCAAATCAAATACGTATGAAAAACAAATTTTAGGAATTTGATCCAAGCAAACAAAGAAACCATGTTAAATAAAACTACACAAAATTGAAACATAACACGATTTCCATTCCATGCTTCTGAGGAGCCATATTTCATGCCTTTACAAAATTAAGCTACTATATGGAATTACGTCTTATGCGGAAACGGTTTATACTCGGCGTCGCATGTAAAGCATGCGGGATATGCATGTAAGGACTTGCAGGGACGCTTTCACTAAATGCATGCATTAAACGTAACTAAGTATTCAAGAGAGGTAGCACGCTTAGACGTATAGCAGTCTTGCCGCTGACTATTTCTTCCTTTCTGCCAGCGATTACTTTCAGTGTTAGAATGAATAAATTTTCAGTATATGAAGTTAAATTTAGTTTGCTTAGTTGAGGACTGTTAATAAGAATTTATGCTTGTTTCATATTCCTTCAGGATTCCAACTGTAACACCTATTAGCATTGCATAAATAGCAAAAATGATTTTGTTACTGCAAGTGCAGTAGATTTTGAAATTAGCATTTAGTTTAAACTATAAAAGGTAGTAATTTTTAAATTATTTCCGTTTTTCTGCTTATTCTTTAAACTACGTCTTAATTTAATAATTTTATGGCAATAACTTTTCTAGTAAAGTTTAGGGTTAAGGTTAGTCACCATAAAACTAAAGAAAAACTTGAAATTTTGTTCTAGATCTCGGCCTGGTCGTAAAACCATCCATCGTGAGCTACGGGTAGCTTCCTGGAAAATGTTAAGTCTGAAGTAAAATTTTATTTACAGGATTATGAAAAATAGATATAATAAGTAAATGGTTAGCAAAAAGTGTCTTAAAATTGAAACTACAGTATTCTTCTGATTAACCGGAGTAATATGGATGAAGATGGCCACGGTTAAGGCAAAATCACGGTTAATCCAACAACAGTTAATAAACGAACACATGAATGAGGAATAACCCATACTGCAAATTAATTATCAGAAAAACTCCATTAATAATGTACACGTGATTTTAAGCAGTTTATGCATTGAATAAATTTATTTGGTTACGTACATTAAATGCTCATTCAAATACATGAAGTATTGTTTTACTTCGAAACGTAGAACGGAATGTTTTTAATATTACCTTTATTTTAGTAGGATTTAACAGGAAATAGAAAATTAATGACTGTTCCTTTCATTTATTTTTATGGTTCTGCAGTTGGTTTTTAATACCTGATTTAATAATATTTATATTCCACATTATAAACCATTTATTCATTTATGAACTTTTGGTCAAACGATGCCTTAATTCTGTAACTTAATTCTGTAACATTATTATAACATATCATTGTTGTTATATCAAGTATTTTACTCTCTTTACAATTTTTCGCAGAAATTTTAGTTTATTTTCATGAGTTGTAACAATAATTTTTCGTAAGAAATCAACTTCACTTTTTTTAGATAAGGGCCAGTTAATTAAGAACACATTGTATTTGGCGGTATTTCGAGCTGACTAGAATGGTGTCAGAAAAACTCACCATAACAGTTTATGTCTTGAAGTAAAATTCAAATCATTCTCTCAAACGAATTTTTTATTTAATTTTTATGACGGTATGCCATTCATTGGGTGCCAAGCTTTCTGAAAGGACTAGTTATACACTGAGACATCAGCTCAAGTACACGTGCCTACAAGGAATAACAGCAAGTTCTAAGTAGTAGATTTGAAAAATAAAATATCGCCAATAACATTACCGCCCTTTGTTACGCTCTTGATCCATATAAGATGGTTTTTGGTCTTAAGACATTAGCCGTAAGGTGCATATAATCATTATTTAGCTGCTTTGACAGGCTGTAAGCTGTCAGATCAGAATACAAACCGAAGTTATTACTACAACCTTAAAACAAATTCTGTTTGAAATATAAATGGCATTCAAGAAAACTCAGCTTCTCTCATTTGGATCACTTATGCGTTTTTATTAATTCACCAACGATTTAAAATTTTGTTTCCTTTTAAAATAATAGATATTCATAATTAAGCATGGAAAATGATACATAAAAATTGACTTAATAACTGCTTTTGTAATGCACAAAAGTGTGATGTAAGCATATTAAAATAGATGGTTTAACATCTAGTCTAAGATATTTGAGATAC